ACACAAATGTACATACAAACACACGCACAAATATATATGTACAACAAATATGCTGTAAAAAAGCGGCAATGCATACACTTTCCTACATTTTACACATTTCTACATACATACATACATATGTATGTATGTGGTATCCTCAACCCAGCATTAAACTTATAAAACACACGCACACGCACGTGAATATTATCGTCTACAGCGAAAAGCTTTTGCTGTATACAACCTCCTTTTGCAAAGCTCTCGCAAGCCCATGCATACCCAGTAGCAAAATTTGGAGATGGTCTACCAAAAGCATTCGTTTCACAAAACAATTTCCGAACTGCATCTGAACCACTTTAAAATGGATGCAGAGCGAGACAGTTGAAACGTGCGTTTTACTAGTTGAGGTGTAGTTTAAGATTCTCATATTGAGAATGCGAATGCTGATAAGATGAGACCACCTGGTGTTGTGATTTCCCTACAGATTGTACAGAGTATGAAATACCGATTAGTTTTGCCAATAAATTTTAATTTTTTGAGCACCAATTACTCTAAGATTTATAAAAAGCAAGATAAGATACTTACATATGTACTTTTGGAGCTTAAAGGCCCCAAAACCTTTCCTAAGAGTACCGAAAAAAACGTAAGCTTCGGAAAAGCCTCGAAAAAATCCGAAAAGTTCCGAACGTACGAAGAATCCAGAAAACCGTTTTAGTTTACAGTTTTTTTTTTATAAAATAAACTGTCCCTGTTCCCAATATTTGCAGAGAAACATTGATTCAGGATCAGTACCGACCTTTTTTCGCCTGGCTTCCTATATAATTATTAACCAGTTTGATTTGCTGCTGGGTATTTATTCACTCTTTTTCACATTCTTTCACTTATATTTGCACGCGACTAACAGCAACCCTCTGATTCTCAACTTGTTTATAAAAAATGCCGTTAAGTAGCTCAGTCATTGCTGTTAGTGCTTCGTGCCTAAAACTAACAGTAAGGAAAACCGTCCAACCTTGCTAACTGCTTGGTTGATGTGCTTCTAGGCAGTAGAGTTGGGGCATTGCTCTTTTGCAGTGTTTTGGCTCTATGAAGCGCCAATTTTTGAATGGGCACAGGTCGTCCCTTCGAACTCATGCGCTCACTACTTTTCGAGTCGTAGAGTTTGGGTGAAGCGATCTGCCCTATTAGTAATACAAACATACATATGTACAGATTTTGTTACCGGAATTTTTTATTTAAACAAAATTTTATAAATTATTGCATAAACAAATTGTGAAACGTTAATGCTGCGTTTTCAGACAGTTGGTGGTGAGCTTTGACAAACTTAATCATGAAGCGATACTCAGTTGAACAACCCGTAAAAGTGATCCAAACTAGAGCTGTCAAACTATCGATAGTCAAGTCCATCGATGTTTTACGATAGTCTTAAGGTTGCCTATCGATACTATCGATAGTATCGGCCCATTTGAAATGTTTTTCTAAATCCATTTATTTTTCGTTTTCTTGCTTTTATAAATTTGTTTATTCTAGCGGCTCACGGTTGCATTTTAGTATCGAGAAATATTGCTAGAAATTCATTCGCCGTGTAAACAGCCAAAAAGCGATTTCAGAATTTTCCCGCCTTTCGGAAAAAAAATTCTTTCGAATGACACTTTACATGCAAGGTGCGGCTGCACATGCAAATGCATTCTGCAATTTCTCAATTTGACAGTCTTTTGAAATATACTGCATTGCCCGGTCTGACACGCTCTTAAGACGGCAATGTAACCTCTGCTATTTCCACGCTTAAAATAAAAAATGGCGCTTTTAGAAATAATGCCATGAACCAACTAAACAGATCACCCAGTACGGCAACCGCGTATTTGTAATTGCATTTGAGAAAAAAAAAAATAGTTGACAACGTCATTTTTTAATCGGTTGATTCATTCACACACATGGTTTCATTCTGTTTCATTCACATGGCAGCGAAAAAATGACGTCACTGCAAAAAAAAATACTTTTTTCTCGCACACCGTCCCGTCGTTCGTTCATGAAATAATGCTGTCAATTTTTGTTCTCTTTGAACCAGCAAAGAGAATACGCTATCAATGAAACGATAGTGGCGATAGTACTAAAACTATCGATAGTTATTTCAAGTGACCAGACTATCGATACTATCGATAGTATCGTCGATAGTTTGACAGCTCTAATCCAAACGTTTTATTGAAAATGTACGTTCTGCAAGAAGTGCATTACATAAAGAGTGATGAAGCACATTTTCACCTAAACGGATACGCTAACAACCAAAATGTCGCATTTGAGGCACTGAAAATCCACATGTCATTCAAGAAAAAAAACTATGCACCTACAACGAGTCACGAGTATGGTCTACGGTTCCAGACCTGAAGAACGAAATCATACGCATAGTGAATGATATACAGCCCGAACTATGCGAAAAAATCATTGACAATTCAACCAAACGAATGAATTGCCTGCGGAATTCCATCTAGTTACATGCCGCCATGCCGCGACATTTGGCTGATTACACATTGAATCAATTCTCATTTGGAGAATTTTTGCGACAAAAGTTTAGCGTACCGAATGTCAGAATTCCACTGCAGGTAAAAGTCCCACTGAACACTTTTGAAACGAAATTAAACGAAAACCTGCTCAACATTAACCCAAGAGTAAAATGGAAGAAAAACTTTCTGAAAAAGATGACGGGGAACGAAATAGAGAAAACTTACAATGTCCTATTTCGTCATGCCCTGACGAAAATAAAGCCGTTATTTCAACTAAAGGGAGATCAATACCTTACAAGTAGAGCTCTTGTTAAAAGTCAACTATCCGGCTATTCGGTTAGTCGACTATGTAGTCGAGCAGTTTTTCACCTTAAAAATATGGTTTTTAGAAAACAACTAAATAGTCCAAAAATTAAACAAGAAGGGTTAGGCACTCATATTTTCCTCAAAGTTTTCTTTTTCATTTATTTGATATGATTTTATACATACAATCAGCGCCAAAAATATGCAACCCTAAGGTTTTGACGTTTTTTTTTTATATTTTCCATACCCAATTTTTCTTACTAAAAAAATATATATATGTACATATAGTTCATTATAGAGCAAAAACCACAACAATCAATTTTTTTAATTTCGTACGGAACATTACAATGTACAATGTACTCTATTACAAAATAAAATAGAATCAAATAAAATTAAAGAAAATAAAAAAAGCAAACACGGCCAGCGGAAAAAATAGCTAAATGTAGAAAATGCCCCCAAATTAAATTACTAAGAAAATTTAGTAAAAAAACACCATACAATCTACCAAAAAACGGGCCCCAGCTAAGTAATAAAAAAAAAATTATAAAGCTATAAAAAATAAAAAAATAAAAAAATGTATCTGCCCGCTGTGGGATTCGAACCCACGACCTCAGTGCCAACAATGCGTATACGCATCTGATGTTTAAAAATATGCCAAAGACCGCGGTAGCGCAAAAGCAACAGTGATAGCATCTGTGTGAGCGCATGAAATCAGTATAATGCAGCCACAGCTACAATAATGGATGACAATGAAATAATTCATCAACAGCAAAATCTTCATATCTAGATATATATGTACAATATAGTGTACATACATACAAAACATATGAACATACGGTATATGCGAATGTCATAAAAGTTTCTTATGCAATCGGCATCCAGCTCCATGCTTGCAGACGTACACTGAAAACAAAAAACCATGTCATTTTTGTTTCAAACTATAATGCCGGTATTCAGTAAGCAGTCTCTAGTCACTAACAGAGACCTTTTGTGGTAAATATCGATTTTGAAACTATTTGGTATTTAATAAGCTGTCTCAAGTCTTTAGTCTCAAAAAATTTCACTAATTTGTCAGCTGTCTCTGAAGGAAAAATAATTGCTTTCTAGTTTACTCAAAAAACGCAAAAATTGAGCGAGGAAACATTTATTTGACAAAAATTTCATTAGGAAATAAACTCAATTAAAATAAAAATATTTTCTTACAAAAAAAAAAAACAAATTTAAAAAATTAAGGGAACATTAAGTTAAGAAAAAGTAAATGAATGATAATTGTAGTCGTTTTCTATTCGTTTCCGGATGTAAAAACCTGCATTGTTTTTCGAACGTTTTCCGGATACGAAAATGAACGAAAATTGTAGTAGTTTTCTATTCGTTTTCAGATACGGAAAATTGTACGAGACCGCACTGTCGGCAAAATTTACGTTTCTCTGCGGGCTGGGATGAGCTAATTTAGTAAATACCAGCATAAAACACATATGAATATGATTTGGCGCCGAACGATCTTTTGGTTACTTTTAACAGATTTTTATTTGGAAATTTTTTCGTTTCGATACGCTTTCATTCTGCACTTCGCATATGCTTTTTCATAATAAACAACTAAACAAAAACTAAAAACATTATGTTTTGTCAGATGGCAATCGAACCTAGGATAGCTTGGAACCTAACGAATGATATATGGCAAGGCCTCTGCATACTCAGCTATAGCCAGTACATGTCAAATGTTCAATTTTAATCGAATTTCTTTCAATTGTTTAAAAAAATTTAATTTCAAATTTATTTAAAAAATACTTTTTCCGTTAAAAAAAAAATTTTGAATCACTAACATGACATGGAAACCCGAAAACAACTCTGTTTAAAAAAATCATATTACTTTTTTCTTAGTGTATGTAGCGGCTTTTCATTTGCGCTTGGCTTTGTATTTGTTTATCTTTTGACCACCAGCGCTGACTACCAACTGACAAATGCATCAAAAATGTGCAGCAGGCGCATGCGAGCGAAGACTTCACTCACGTCTCCAACTGCGAACGCTCAATGTTGGCTGGTTGTGAGACTCAACAATACTCGCAATAACATAAAGTAAGACAATGGCTCCCAGACCGCTATTTGGTTAGTA